GAAAGTTCGCCGAGCTGTCGGAAGCTAGCTCCTCGCCACAGCAACAAACTTTCGAAGGAATCTCAAAGTCAGTCGATAAATTTGCAACGATCGTCGTCGAATCCTTTGTCGACCCCGTGTTTCCCGAAAGTTTCGTCCTATTTATCGTCTCGCCGTTACGTTAAGCCCGGGGTTCCTCGAGGACGTCGTAAACTTCGTCCTCGAGAGAGAGAGAGAGAGATACACTTCATTAGTATTGAAATTTTTGAAATATGATAATTTTTATGCACGCCTTTGATTTGCTTAGTCGCTCAAAATAAATTACATAATGCAGTCCCCATCATTAATCACGCTACTTAATTAAATTTGAGTTACTAACACTTGTACATTCGCTTCTCTATTCAAGACATTGAAGTTCGAAATTTTGCTTAAGAAAACATACCTCACCGGAAGCTTTTACCCTCGACGTTGTCAAAGTCGCGAGACGAGGGGTGAATTGAGATTCGAAGTGACACGGAACGGGTGAAACTGGAAGCTGAATTGTATGTAATTGACCGGGCAAGAACAAAGCTCACTCATTAATTAATGGTGACGTAGGGTTGACGTCACGTCCCACGGGTTGGCGCAATGCAGGCACGCTTACTGGACCATTTATTTACCATTAACGGCTCATTAGTGCGCCGGCATTCATCTGTCCGAGTTGCATGGAACCGGGCTACCTCTTTTCACGGGACCACGATAGGGCCTATTTCTCCTTCAATTGGTGAAGTAGCTTTTACTGTCGTTGATTCTTAAATCGATCATCTTGTCAGATCAAAACAATTTTTGTCGGATCAATTATCTTAATAATAGAGTACGCAGGTATTTATTTCCATTTTGACATTCAAAAATTTATTGTATTTGTTCGGCTATGGGTAAGCACCCATTGTGGAGGTGACAGCTGGAGTGATGCTGAATAATTTTTCCTTTACCAAAATACTCGGTAATCAGATCGCGCTTAGCGCGCACGCTCGGTCGCGAGAGAATCGGCTCCAAGGACCACACTCGACCGAGGCCGCGAACCAACTAAGATGCGCGTCGGTTCAAAGCCTACACTCCCTCGGCCGCGCTTGCGCACTAGACGTGTTCTGACTACTCGCTGTTTTTCATTAATAATTCAAAAACTAAGCTTTAACAAGCATTTTGATTAAGGAAAAAATTCTACAGTATCACCCCAGCTACAGTGTCCACCCTTAGAGCCAAACATCCTATATATGTTCAAAAATCGAAGTAGAATCATGTCTTTATTTAAAAATTAATAGATGTTTGTTTTGAAAATTAATTAATTATTTAAGAGCTCGATAATTTTGAGCACAACAACCATCATATACATATTTAAACAACAAATATCTTATTTAAGAAACGTAAGTTCATATTCTTGTTGTCAATTAAAATAGCTATCTACGAGTACAGTTGCTGGTCTATTTAAATGTTCAGTATATCAAAAGATTAATATTTGAAATATAAACCAACCTCTTGTCGTTAAAATTGCATTCTGATGTTTCTACAGAAATACCACCTTGTTGATTAAACATTAAAATATTCACTAATGAAAAATCATTTCCTGTATTAATTCCTGTATTTTCACTAAATTTCTATTAATTCAAAGACACTATAGTAATTGTACTCTATTGAGGAGATGTGTCTGTGGCAATCGACGAGAGGTTTCAAGTAGAGCAAGTAAAGGGGTTTGTCAGACATTAGTGCTCGCGCGGTTTAAAGCGAGTTCCTAGGTGGTAAGTATAATTACAGGAAGACGGTCCGGAAACTTGAATGTTCTGTGGACCTATCTGTCGTTGCTGACCGCTTTGAGGTGTCTGATTTCACTTCCCTCCGATCGTCGAGTGTCTTGTTTCGTCAGTGCAAAGCTACTTGTTTAGCCTCCTCGATTCGATGTAAGCGTATACGTCAGTATCAGGTTATTGCTTTTGATGGTGCTTCAATTTTTATTTATTCCTCCATTTTGAAGTAACTCAAGCTTAAATATATAGTTTTGTATTTGACAGAGTTTGTCTCAGAAACTTTACAAAAGACAACAATTTCATGGACAAATTCCTTCTTCTCCTCGAAAAAGAATTTTCGTTCGAAGACTTGTTTAACCACGAATCTCATCGTGGAGAAGGATAAAACAGCGGGCGAGCCGGTAAATAAAGTGCGTATTCGATACACGTACGAACGTAAAGGTAATAAAGGAAGGGTAATAACTCGATTCTACCTTATGAACGTACTGTGAAATACCTATCCTGCCTCTTCCTGTCTATTAACCTTTTCTTTTCTTCCAGCTTTTCCCAGATCGTGCAACACAGAAACCCGCTGCACGAACCTTTACGATCAGGATCAAAATCGGCAGCGGAGCGTGTCATGATTTTACAGTGTCCTGCTTCGTTTCCCTTCTGTTTTACTTTTTTTTACGATCCATACCGGCAACTCGATATTCTCATCAATATTTTCATACCGGCCGTGATTCAACCGCGAGAAGATTTCTATTGTTCGACGCGAAGGGAGAAAGAATGGCTGCTGTTTGCATACGAGTAGCCAGGAGGAAAGAGTAACCGTTTCTCAGCACGTAGCCGTAATCTTTTACGACGTTGCACCGTGACAGAATTAACGTTCCGAAGCTTACGGTTATCGTATAATTTTATTCCAGCTTATCGTACGGACGTAAACTGCGTCGAGTTCGGTTCGTCGTATTTTATCCGACGAAAACGAGGCTGCTTGTAAAATGCGCCCCGGATAAGCTGATCACGTTTTCCATCGTTTCAACGTCCTGTCGATAATATCGAATTTTTAAGAAGACGGAACTTCGATCCTGTCCCATCTTGAATCCAATATTTTTTAATTGATGCAAATAACAACCCCTCTCATGATTATCCAGTATTAAATATAGATCTGATCGATTCGTGATACGGAATTTGAAAGCTACGGAAAATTCCTATAGAAAATTGTCGGATGTGAAAATTACGAGATTTCCGGAGATCTCGGTTAAAGGGTCATTAAGCAGAAGAAGGAATAACGCAGGCTCGTTCGACGAATCCCAATCACGTAGGGGGTGGCCGATGCAGCGGAACGCGCATCCATTCGGGGTTGCTGAGGTGCCACGGCACGCCAAGATAATGTCCTGATTCGTATTCCCAGGTGGTACTAGGATCATGTAGATCCAGCTGCCATTATCGGGAAATCCGCCCATCGAAAACGTGATACCCGTCTTTTGCGCCGCGTAAATCAAACTGCGCACAGTTCCCATAAAGATACACAGTGAAATTACGAAGCATTCGTTCCAATTATTTTCATTTCAGTCCCATTTCGTAACACGCGTGTTCCAGCTGTGTAGAATAAATCATTAACGACGCGAGGTAATGGAAAAATGATTGATCCTGCTCGAAATGAGAAACATTTTCCTCGTTTCCTGTTAATGAGGAAAAAAAAGTCGCAACGATGGGAGAAAGGAATAGCGAGGAAAATTGAAACGGGAAAACCACCGACCTCGGTGGTCAGTTTGCGTTTCCAGTACTGGCTCGCTCGGTGAACCGTGGGACCATCTAAATGGTCGGCACAGAACTGTTGCGTTAAAGCCCCGAGGCACTTTGATACGGATCGATGATTTTTTACCCTTCGTTCATACTGATTGTTCTTTCTGCGATACGGTAACTTTTACTTATATCCATCGATAAACGATCGGTAATTACAAAAGGGGTTTTAATTAAAATTCTTCGCTGTACGAATATTTCTTACGATCACTGTGTTTGTCGTTCGCGTTTGATTTGAAAAAATATTTATCGAGGATCAAGAGACTGCAAGTAAGTCCGATGTTTGCGTAGCAACGTAGAGTGCGAAATCGAATAACAGCCGCGAAATATCACAGGGAATATCAATGAAAACGACAGGGCATTCGTGAGCTTCGAATACAAACCGTTCGCCGCATAAATCTTTCGCCCGCGGCTCCATTTTCATGGAGATCCTCCGTCGACGTATATACAATTTTCACGGACATTAATATTTATAAATCTCCTCCGGAAAGCTTGGAAAAGCATCGAAATAAGATGGAGCTCTTCTTTGGTTGAAATCGATCGAAGAAATACTCGGCCGTGAAGTCGCTTTGTCGAATTCAACGCGAAAGGCACTTTCAATTCATTTTTGTATTCAACAGAATACGAAGAATAATCGACGTTTACGGCGAAATCAATGGAACCGCTAAGTTGTTCACCATTCACTTTCTACCCCTATATTTTTGTCTGCTGCGTTTTAAATTCGTTCGATTGGCCTTTTGATTTATTTAAACGGAAAACATCAGGCCGGCCTATAGGTTGGCGAACGCCGCGTCAATTATCGGCCTGATTGGATTTGGCAACTGGCCGCGCAAACGACGCAACCAACTTTGTGACGTCGAGCTCGCAGGGCAAGCCTAGTTCTCGATTACCCTCGATCCGGGTCATCGACGTGAAATCACCAGCTCGTACAGATAGGAAATGAACTTTCGCAAAATTTTACTTATCTTTCCAATTCATTTTCTCTCAACGTCGATTGTTTTAATATTAAAGAAAGAAAGAAAAATATATGAATCAGATTGCTGGCTGTTTCGCGAAACAATGAGAAAAGGTTATCCGGTCAAAATGTAGATAACAATGGAAGGAAATAATATAAAACCGCGTGGCTGCTTCAACTGGATCGCAGCAATTTAAAGGGACTCCGTGGAGAGCATTGTTTCGTTCAAAAAGCAAATTTCCAGGGTCGAGCGACGCGGCTCGACGCGTGCATCTTGCATTAATCAGAATATTAGGTCTATTTTGTTACCGTCGCGACGGAAAAGGGACGGTTCTCTCCCTCGCGTAATCACGTGGAATTCAACGCGATTCTCTTGCTCCCCATTCAACCCTCTCGCCCGCCACCTCGCTAGGGCTCTACACGGCCGGCGAAATAAGGGCTATTTCAATTGTGGCACGCTAAACCGCTAGCAATTACCGTTAAAATTACACGATACTTACCGGAGCACCGAAATTCTGCATTGCGGCGAGCTCTATTATTTCCAGGTGTTGCCGGCCCCACGTTCGACACGTTCATTGTGAGCCGACCGTAATACCGGGGACTCTTCAAAACCACCTGCGCTCGTTCGCTCTCCCCAGGTGTGCTCAGGTGCGAGCCAACTGGATACCTAGTGAATTTATCCAGACCGACGCTTCCTGTCAAGCCTGTAAGCTGAATTCCCCTGTTGCCTTCGCCAGCAGGACGATAAAGGACGATATCATTCGTCCTAATCACGTGCGAAGAAAATTTCGTTTTTGAAAATTGTAATATAAAGTCATTGGTATTTAATTTTTCAATGGCATTTTCAGTGGTTTATTTTCACCACTGTTATCGTTAGATTGGAGGGTGTTCAAAAATAAACTAATCGGTTAATCCATGGATCTTTACTAAACCGATACGAGTGGGTACGGTTAATACAGTCGGTACTTTGGATTTCCGAATTAATGGGGCAAGCTGAAAATTCGCTCATGAATTACAGTGATTAATCACGTGGAATCGGTATCAACTCGGCGAATTTAGAGAGGTACGTGAACTATTCAATTCATCTTTGTGCCAGGATACCAGCTCGAAATAGGTGTAAAGCAAAATTACAGCTAACGAATCGAAACTTTGGTTATTAGATTTTGTTACGCGTTCGTAATTAATACGGGAATACGTTGTACATACGGGAAGTTAATGATTCTGCGTGGGAAAGTAAGTTGGAAATATGGAATTAATTTTCTATACTTACCAAATGAAAAAGGCTTTGAAACTTTTCAGTTTTTTGGACTTCGTTAATGATATTGATTTTCGCCCACGGTTGATCACCATATTCGATCATTTTTCTCGCTGACTTTTCACTGTTTCGGTACGTCAGTCCGGCTGCTGATGAAGCAAACTGCAATGTTTGCGAAACCTCGACGACAGGAATCTTTAGGAATCCACAAACCATTCGAAAGCCAAAACTAATAGAAGCTTTTCTTCTCCGAATAAAAATGTGGTCGAAGCAAACTCAATGCTAACGCGGCAACACGTACTGTCAACTGTTCTCCAATATAACTAACTGCGGAAAAATAAATTAATGTTACAAACAAAAAATAAAAATAATTACCTTTAAAATTATAATTCTACGTTTATACGCGTTTAAATGTTAACCGTACGAAAAACGATCGATTTACAGGCGGGTAAAGTAAAATCGACAAAATCGGAAATTTAGGAAGAATTACGACGTTTCATTCTACCAATCGAAGTGTGATCCGCAAATTGAACGATGCACGTGTTCGAATGGGACACGTAGAAATATCGTTGGTTAGTCGCGACGAAAGCGATCCACAAATTCGTCCCGGTTCCGATCGTCGAAACCACGATTCTGACCGAGCGACCGTAATTAAACGGGCTAAAACTGGATAATTGATGAGGGTTGAGGACGGCTGGGTACGGCAATATTGGCGGTGGTCGGATATCGGAACATAAATTGAACGAATACCCGGTACATGTATATAAACATACACTTTATTATGATAATTTATAATTGCATTCGTATTCACAGTGAGTATGCGCAATAACGTGTTGTAATTAGACGTACAAACTGGTCTATGGAGTAATAACCTAGACTAATCAAGTTTTGCGGCTAATTATATACGGCCCGTGTGCAGACTGATTCCACGTCGATCTCGCGTTTATCGACAACTAGTTTCGTTTCGATCTCTCTTTATATCTCATCCTCGTGAATATATTTCGTTTTTCCAAATCAGGATTTTCTTTATCATTCGTTATCGACTTATAATCGACGGGGAATCTCGTCTATCTCGACCACATCGTTGAATTTCAACGCGGTCGATTCTGCCAATCAGATAAAAGAAAAACTAAAAAATTAACGCGACAAGCAGTTAATCCGCGAATCGTTTCCGCACTCGGTATCCCTCGAAAAAAATTAGTAGGAACTGAACTGACTGACGATTCATCAACGTAGCTCGAAACTTTGAGCCGTTTCACGATTTGTCTGCTCCTTTTCTTTCTTTTTTTTCTCTCTCTATTCCTTATTTGTTCCGTGTCGTACAACGTTGCAGGGCTTCCGTTCTATGGTTAACGAGAAATAAAACGATGAATGGGGGAGGGAAACTGATCGCAAAATTTACATCTCGCGCGGTCTTGTTCAACGGTTGAGAAAATAACCGTCCTAATATTTTCTTTTTTTTTTTTTATTCGTGTAAGTTGTACTGTACACAATGAGCGATGAAAAACTCGCTTCTTATTTCTTGCTGAGCAATTATTGTAATAATTTCGGTACCGTTCAGGTAGTAAAGCATAGCTATATAAATACCTCTTCGTAGCTATTCGTTACGATAATAAAATAACGTGTTCACAATCGTCGTCCCGAGGAATCGGCTGAATCCTTAATCACATCGATTTCATTCTCACCGAACGAAAGATACGTCGTTCGGTTATTCTGATTCGTTAAACAATTTTCACGCGAATCTCGTCGCGAGTATGCGAGGCGTTGCGTGTTTCTTACAACGACGAATGATACCGAACGTTCCTCGTTCTGAACTGAATTTGTACGTTAATATAATTTGCACAAACTCGGTAGATTCTATCGATCTAAGAACTAGAATGAATTTTTTAATTAACAGTGCAAGTACGTTGGAAAAATCATTAAGTTCATTTTATCTGTATTAGCTGATTTTAATATAACAGTGAAAGATAGAAATTCTGTCGGGTAAGCAATATATTCAGAACCATTCCGGAAGCAAAATTAATAAGCAAACTACAAAATTTGTTTAAACCGAACTGAACATGCGCACAGGGTTATCAATTCAATTTATTTGGGCAAATTTGTACGAGCAAATTAGTTTGTGCAAACTGCACCAGCGTATAAACTGAGCTTCGAGTGAAAATGAAAAATGCTCCCGAGGTATTAATATATACAAGTATACGCGTTCACATTCGCCGTAACGTCGGTACAAGACGAAAAAGCTACCCTCGCTCGTTCGTTCTCGTTTTCTCGAAACTATGTCGTTCACGCAACACCCTGCACACGATCCAAGCGAAGCAACGTTGACGCGATATCGCGGTAGAGCAGATTTTAAAAAAATATTTCATCTCGATCGAATCGACCTAGAGCGGCTATCAACTACCCCATCGACCACGGTGGTTCGTTTACAGGGAAAAAACCAGATCGATCCTCCGCTATTGTACGGGTAAATTGCTGCCCGGCCAATGACAGTCGTTCTTCCATTTCGTCACCAACGTGCTTCGATTCGAAAATATTCGACGAGACAAGGGCAGGGTTGGAGGAGACCGGGGACGACACAGAACGTACGAGTATACGTACGAACAAACGCAAATTGTTACGGACAAATTCGCGTCACGTCTGTGCATTTTGACATAGACGAATCTTATTTGAAGCTTCGATCACGCCCACGTACGACCGTCTATCTTCTAAAGCTACCGAGCGCGACTCGGTTTCTTATCACTCGAACGATAATACTCCTAGCAGAGAAATTCAATAAGCATCGCGCAACGTTTCGATGTTTTCACGGATTTTTTTTTCTGTTTTTCTTTTTCCTTTTTCTTTCTTTTTTTTCTCTTTAGTGTACAACGTATATACATTGGTCTTCCATTAAGTCTTGGCAACGTTTCGGTCAGCGCCCGTTTAAAGCGACAATTTACGAGGACAGCACGCGTGTAACTAAAACGAGAAAGGAAAAGAGACCGAACGTCGTGCTGCCTCACATTCGACCCCGTTTAAACAAGAAACTATCGAACCGATGAGTCGCGAACCCGGGGAAGACAGACAAAAGATTCCAGCAGGATTGAAGTTTACTTTAATTGAAACCCGCTACCGAGCGCACCGGCAATGCATGAGACCCCGATTTGTCAGCTCGATGCTTTCCGAACCGTTTTCTACCAGAAGACGGGCTTCAATGAAACTTTAATTCAATGGATGTGTACCTACTGATGGATATTAGAAACTCTCTTCGCAAGTTTTCAAGCAATTCAAACATAATGAAATTTCGAATTATAAGATTTACCGACAAATTTTATAAAATTTCATTGTTCCAAGTAAACAATGCTTTAGCAGAGCTTGGAAACGTTGCCTAACAAAGCTCATCGAAGTATGAAGTACAATATTATTACTTTTTCATTCTCCTTTTCTCAATGCACGTTTTCTCAACCGATTTCCTTAGAAAAATCGTACCGAACTCTGAAAACCGACGGTACGTTTGATTACTCTAAAATTGGCACCGTTTAATTACATGCGTGCTCGGAGAGCTACGTGTCCGGCAATCGAAGACAAAACACGCACACAGAAAGAATGATGCTCACAGAAGGACAACGAGCCACGTATACGTGGCTCTGTACTACGTCGACATCGTCAAACTCGAGGTCGTGGGAAAAATAAATTCAAGAGTGACTCGACTCTCGATTTACAGCCGTGTCGTCGCGAGACACCGACCGAAAGCAACGATATTTACACGTTTCGAGGAGTTTTCCGACCCGCCAGTCCGCGGTGTCCGCAACGAGGATGCATAGCTGTCTCATAGGAACGCGATCGTGACAGAAAAATACTCTCCGTAGCGCGAAATCACCCTCGAGCGTCGAAGTTGCTTGGAAAAAAAACATCGCTTATTTCGTTTCGAAGGTTACGACGAATAAATATTTACACGGTTCTCAACGACACGGAATCGAAAGCATCGACACAGCGAGCACAGCGTATCTCTGAGAACGTCGAAAGCACACTCGAAATACAGCGAATACGTATTAGAAACATCACGACGCAATTAGTAGTAACTATATTACCAACGCCGTTTATCACTCAAACGAAGCCATTTACCTTTCGTTATCACGTCTTCGTACAAACTTCTCCTCTCATCTTCTTGGTTTTCGATGTACACTGACTGAATTGCATCGAACTTGTCGCGGCGTGTGACACTAACTATATTCACGCCGGAGAGCCGGTTGGCGAGGGGCACGCGAAGGAGGGACGCCAGCCAATCGGCTGTCGGCGTGAATATAGTTAGCGTAACACGCAGCGACAAAATCATGGTCGAAGTACAGGCTCGCTCTTGGTCCTCTCTTTCGTGAAAATCTAGCCAATCAAGCAATTTCCGCCTGGTGAAAATCGAACGGTCGATATTAATCGTCGATCGTCGCGAAAACAGGATAAGTATCACACACAGAAAGATCCAAAAAATCTGCACGTCCGCTTTTCGTTCTCTTTTCGATCACAAAGGATTCGGGACTCGCTGGAAGCAATTGGTTGCTTCCCGAATCGGCACCGTGTGTGCCTGGTCAGGTTCTCGTCGACGATGAGACCAGAATAGAGAAAAAGAGAGAGATAAACAGGTAGTTAGTGGAATAATTGGTCGAGCTAGAGCGTCTCCAGGAGGTTCTGTACGAGCAGTGCGGGCGCGGTGACGCGCGTTTTCCCTTTTCTCGACTGTCTACAGGTACGTACGTTACAACGTGGCGCCCGCTCCAGCTGCTCCGACTTGTTGCTGTCCTGCTCGAGCTGCACTGACACGCTGGCGACACGGGGCGTCGAACAACCGCCCTCCTGCAACAGACAATTTCGACGTGTTTGAAGGGGAAGCCTTGACGTTTGCCGCCTCGTCGAGAACACGCGTCGAGAGGGTGGACTCCCTGTCCCGTCGGCTAATCAGCTTCCCCCCACACCCCCTCGCCGATCGACGCCTCGGCCTTTTCAACGCGTCGTTGGACAAATAGGGTACTAGCTTCCTCGGCCAAACGAAAGAACGAATTTAGCGAAAGGTAGTTAAAAGAACAACAAATTTATTAACATATTATTTCGCTCGAAAGTCTTAAAATACCGATCTCTTCTAAGTTTCGGACTCGTGATGATGAAAGTTTTAATGGATTTTAAAAGTGTATTAAAAGTTCCGCTACTATTTCAATTTATTCCCACGTCGCTATATTATCCGAGATACATTTTAAGTTCGGATTCGAGGAATCTTCTACAATTTGAATAACATTGTTAACAATTACCGCGGTACAACGTACTTGCAACAATCGATAAAGGGCGTTTCGTTAATGAGGGAAAAAAGGGTAGGAAGAAAGGAAAAGAAAAGGGTAAAGAGAAGAGACACTGCAGCCGAAAGTAGCCAAGTTTTTACGAGTTGAATCTTTAACGACTGGAACGAATTGTGCCGAGTGCAGGACCGTCCACGGCTACGCCGGGTGAATAGGAAACGAGGAGAACAGGAAAGGAGAATGAGCGGAGCCAAATCTATTTAATTAAAATTATGGCGATACGACGTGGCCGAAGAATCTCAATTAATCTCCGAAAAAAAAAAAAAAAAAAAAAAAAAAGAAAAGGTTTAAGAGGTGCACCGGAATGGAACTGCGGACCGACCAGCGGTATCCGGCTCTCTTCTCTGTGGCACGACTAATTTGTTCAATTACTTTTATCGCGGTGTTTCCGGGCCAAGGAAAGGTATCCGAAGGCAAAATGAAGCGAACGCGGTGAAAGCAGGGGAGAAATATTAAAACGTACGGATCAAAGTGTAATAAAAGGATCGTAAAAGGAGATCAACGTCAACCGGCTTGGAAACTTAAATAGAAATATTAATATTGTGTTGAGTCTACGTTCCGTTTTCAATCGTGTCGTTCTCGTGGAAATACTTGCAGGGAGTGATCAATTTTATTATCCTCTCAGGGCTCGATATTAAATCAGATTGAACGATTGATCGTTTGTGTAATAGCATCGTTAGGATAATACAATTTTCTTACTATTGTGCTGGCGCTATATTGTAAAGCTCTTTGCGTAATAAAAAATTAACTACCACTATGTGTTATTTTATTTTCTACTCACCGATAAGCAGATATTCGCTTGATGCTGATGCGCTCGGCGACGGGATTCGCTTTGCAGCTGCCACGCGCGTATATAAAGGTCGCCACGATATATGAGTCCGCCACGTTTCGCTCGTAACATCAGGTGCCACCTGAAAAACGTACACACGTTACGAATTAAATGAATCCGTATTAACCTTCTGAAAGATTAATTCGTTAAAGCTGAATTAAAATTTATTTTCCAACTCTTTGACGATCAAAAAACGATTCGCTCGGCGGGTTAAATTTACCCTTTTTATAAAAAGATACATTGGTAGCAGGAGGCAATGGTAGATACCAGAGAACCCACGAAGACAAACATTTTTCTTTTTCCCAGAAGAAATATAACGGTCTGTAATAAGAGATAGAACAAGAGTTTAACGTAGCCGCGAAATAAATTGCCAGACGATCGCAAGTCATGCTTCCGTTCACGGTGATGGAGTTTCTGGCAGCGAGATCGGGGAACCGTTCACACCCTCTCGATAAAATAAATTCGTAAATGACATACCCTTTTCACGCGTCACTTCCGCGCGCACAGTTCATTCTACGGGTCTCTTTTTTCGCCAGCCGAGCGGCGTGTTTACGAGGCGGAAAAGAGGGTGAATATCAGGAGTCAATAGTCGACTTCCACGATCCTTTATCGTGTCACATACTTCGTTCGCAACATTAACCTGAGAACGGTTGATATTTTGCTCTGCGCTAGAGCCGCTGCTCGGATGAAAATTATTTAAGAACTCGATCCTGTTGCGTCGCTACTACGACGTTGGAAAATCAACGAGCCAACCATGGTGACAGTTTATATTTCAGGCTGGAGAAATTTTCGTTCGCGTTTTATGACAGGAGAATATTTTGTTTCCGACACGTTTGGATTTCTCCGAATAGCCTCTAATACCGTGAACCGAGGGTAGTGAAATAAATATAACAATTTTCGTATAGTTGTTAAAATACTGCAAAGTCAGCTAGAATTTGTATCGTCTTTGGAATTTCTGCACAAGATAAAACGTTTCTCGTTCTAACGAGTAGCTTCGCAAGGGAATAAAATACCACGTTCCAGTTTCCTCGTTCGTTCTTTTCCGCCCCTCGCGATTCGTTTCATCCCCCTCGCCGTTTTCGCACATCGTTAGCAGATAACTGCTCGGCGTTAACTATTCCCCTGTTAATTCACCCTTTCTGTTCAAGAAACTACCTATTTCAAGTATCTTCTATTTCAAAACACCGGTGACGTTAGGCTGACTAGAAGTTACCCTTTCATATCTCACCGAACGAATCGCCTACCCTCGAGCGCGCCTTTGCGAGTGCATTCAGTCAGCTGAATAATCCTGATCGTTATCAAGGCCATTGCATTTATCCGAGAACAGTTACGGCTAGATTCTAGGCAACGATGCCAGCCGTGTTTCCGTGTTACGTAATCGAATGCGACGTGGGTGCGCACCCTCGTGAACCGTCCGTCCGTATTTTCCGTTTCTCCTCGGTTCACGAAATTTCTCGTCGCGTTTATTTCGACCCCGTCGCCGGTGCGCACGATTTTTGCTCGTTTTCTTTCCTCGCACCACGATTACTCCGCATCCGGCTAGAGTTTCAAGTTGTTCCTATGTTTAATATAATTTCCGGTAGATATATAGCGGTGTTATGCGCCACTCACTCTCGATGCTTTTTTTATTTTTTTAAACATTTTTGTAACAAACGAAATGCACAAGGTTCGGGGGTTTCAGAGTCATTTAGGTATACTTAACTATAATCCCATACTAGTAGCGAGCATGTTATATATCTTTTTTTTTGGAAGATTAAAAATAGGAAGGGGTTAGTTACGTCGACGTGTAGAATAAATGGACCTTTCAGCATTTATGCAAAATAAACGATCTAACAAAGCGGTAACGAGAAGCTGGCTCAATCGGCCATTTGCTACAGCACCGTTAGATAGAATGGATCTCGGTACTCTATGAATTATAAAATTGCCATTTAGCGAGCTAGGCAAAGGCCAAAAACGGATGCAAAAATAGACGGTCGGTGATCAAAAGTGACTATTTTTCTCAGTTGAAATTCATTTTTATACCCCGGTCCATTAAATTGAAACCAACACGAAAGAATTGTTATCCCAGGAGATTCTATTTTTCTGGATTATAACGTGACTCTAGGTGCTTTGACATTTCGAGGCCACACACTTTTCTGTGGACGTTCGAAAAGTATGGTCGTTCGTAAATAAATTTTCCCGAAAAATCTGCTAACACCTGCTACGCACGATTCCCGGACCCGTCCAGCCGAAAATACAGAAATGGAGATAGCGTCAGTAAATTCCCGATTTATCAGCTCGACGAGCGCTTAACGCAACGGTGGCGACGTTATCGTTGCCTATGGAATCATCTCTCCTGCACACTGGCTTTTCGAAAAAGAGACGCTAAAAAAGATGCCCGTCTCAATGAAAATCTCTCGGTCATTTTATTTATCGCGACAGCATACTTTGGAAAGATGAAATTCATATTTTCAAAATTTGATGTAGAAAAACCATCTATTGATTCGTAAGTTTATTAAGAAAAGTATTATTGAAACAAATGTTTCCAAAACTTTTAAATCGATTAGTTAATGGTGCTTAAAACTTTTTTAAACTAAAGTTTCGTATTACAAACAAAAGATAGTTACGTATAAATGGTAGAGGTTTACAAATTTTATTTGCAATAAAAGCTAATGCTCGATAATTTTCCGCGAGCTGGTAAAATCACTCGTGTACAACGTCAATGGAGTTAATGTGTCCCCGATATTTTTGGCCAGTCCCGTGTATCGCGTAATTTTGTTTTCCATAACGCATTAGCATGGTATTGAAGCGGTTCTGATTGAAAGCGAACGCTTTTGACCGTGTATTCCAACAAGCTCGCTCATAACACGTGAAAATGCTTCCAGCTGCTAATGCTTTCATCAAATTTTCCATCGACGAACGAAAACACTTATAAATTATTAGTGCAGAAAGCAGCTGAAAATGTTTATCCCCAAATTGTTTTACATTTTCAGCTCCAACGTTGAAAATTTCGAAAATTATGAAAATTTAATTGCGTTTGCTAACTATGTTATTTGAATACATCAATTATGTACCAAGATTTTTCACTTGGTTGTTTGTTTATTTGCGCAGAGGCATCATCATAATACATTTAGACATTTTTATTCGAGGCTCACGTTTCACTTATCTAGACGTGTTTAGTCGTCCAGATTTATGGACAGTGATCTTGCGAGGGTTCAGCTTAGCTGTTTACAATCCTGTTACCCACCCTTCTGGGTAAACTGGACAAGAATTCTGAAAAATGTACTCCAAAGAAATTGGACCGTGATTCAATGGGCGAACAAAGTTCACAAACTTGTCTTTGAGTACACAGTGGCCATAAAAGAAGGAAATTCTTAAGCGAGAAGTCATTTAACTTGGTGAACTTGCCTTCGCTGTGTAGGATTGGTTCAATTACATAAGTTACATTTCGCTGGAGAAGTTATTGTTGATGTTAATGTAGTGGAAGAAATGAGGTCACTGCTTAAGAAAATTGTTACTCTACCTAAGAAATTTTTAATATCCTTTGAAAACTTTTTATAGTTGCCTGTTAGAGATATTCTGAAACTTATTCGAAGCAGCTAATTATATTTTCATTTTCTTCTTTCAAATAATTCTGAATGCCGATCGTTACCTGGCAGTAGTATATTTTTATGTTGGATACCAGTTGGCGAGTAAATAAAATGACCGATAATACCCTCTAAATCTGAAATACAATCTACTTCTGGGTTTGAAACGTAAGTGGAATGTGGAACCAATCGACGAGAATCACGAACGATTTATGAGAATTTAATCCGACATTTGTACAGCCGCTACAAGGTAGAAACCAATCTATCGTGTACCGAATTGACGTGAAATAAATAAACTGTTAACAGGAACTCAACAATGTAGAAACCCCGGCAATTTGACATATCTGTTTCGACTAACTTCAAAAACTTTAACGTTCTTTGCTTCCCTGCTCTACTTGTTCATTGATTGCCATCGACATAATTCATACGCGATTTACACAACCGATGTTTTGTATTATATACTGTGGAGAGCTCATGGTTAAACGTTGACCAGTTCCGCACTTCTTCCATTGAATAATTCATGTTTATGAATAATTCATAAGTCGAATGTAGTGAACGGGGATGAACAATAAAACGGTCGAAAATAGGGTATGAGACTTGTCAAATTTATCACTTTATAGTTTATTTATAAGCAACTAGGTGTGTATGCGCTATAAGCAAAATTCACTTAAACAGCCAATGAATATTTTCAGAAATAAGATAGAAATGGCATACATCCATCCGGAAAGTCGGCGACGCACGGGCATTTTCCACGGTAAAAGGTTCGCAATACCTCCATTTAAAGAATAAACCTAACGTATGACAAAAAACTACCCTCTTTAAGATATTAAAACAAAGCAGAGATGAATTTATCCCATTAACTGGCACAAAAAATCAGCCGTAGGGGATTAAATTCAATCGGGGATCCATAAAAGCTCGCTAATTGAACAACGCTCTGTTCTTCAAAATAAAAGGAAGGAGGAGGAAATCCTTTGCAATTCTCGAAATTCGTACGACCTTTTTTATCGATCACGAGATACGGGACCATAATTTCGGCCAGCAAGAAAGAATTGATTCCCCCGACCGTGTGCATTCGATCGTGCAACCCCCGAAGCGAGAGCTGCAAAAACAGTGCGAATCGTCGCTGGCAAATTTACCGTGGCTGTTTTATAGACGCTATTTGCACTGCGGGGGCACCAGAGGATTACAGTACGCGAGGTTCGAGAAAAAAGAGGAAAGAGAAGAGGGTGAAAGAACGAGCCGACAAGGACGCAAAGCCGTGCACCCTGTTCACCCCGTAATCCCGCTGCATTGCTACCTACACTACAGCTCAAAAGTATTTTATCACACGTCAGACGAAATAAATATTTATTTTTATTAATTAAAACAATCTAGTTGCGACTCCTAACTCGAAATTTTAATGTAGGATATTAATTTGTATGGAAATTGTAAAATTATACAGCATGAATTTGCACTCTACTTTCTTTTAATGGAACTGCATATTTTTTTGCACAAGTCAATGTCAAAAAAATTAATATTTTTGTATGAAATATTTTACTTTAAAAATATCTTGAGAGTTATTAAATTTTGTTAACATTATATACCAGTATCCGTCCATTTCGAAGAATGGATTTATCTAGAAATTTATTGCCCTACCCTATACAAGTATATTTTGTGCGTGCGAGTTGAAGGGATGGAAAGGAAGGCAACGGTCGCGATTGCCATCAAGGGATGAAAGTTTCGCGTCAACTCTGAGAGCCGAACTTGCTAAGCTGTTTCGACGATTCGTTTGCACGCCAAGTGGACACGGTTGTTCCTTTTTTCGCTGGAACTCCCTGGAACCAAGGAGTTCCCACAGACTTTTCGTTTACTTTTGCTAATTTACCTCGGAGAGTGAAACCGTGACGTGATTGCCAGCAAGGGGAAATTTATGTTTAATATTTCTTTCGACTGGTAACTTGTGAAGTTGGAAAGCATTCTTTCCGACGAGTAATATTCGTTGTTTCCCAAAGTTCTTTCTCTTCGAAGAACTAACGGTTTGGTTTTTTTTTTTTTTACTTAACACCTATCGTCAAAGAGTTAGAATTTGACCATTCTCGTATAAAATCATCGTCAAAATTTTATTACGGTGGAATTTATAGATCTGATTAATTGCTCGAGAAACATGATGCTCACCTGGTGATAAGTTGATGCACCCTCGGCCATTGACCCCGCGACCTCAGGATCCTGACCGTTCCCAGGAGCGACGATCTATGCGATGGCGAGACCTCCATGGCTTTGAGATAGTACTTCAGGGAGGGTAACCATTTACCTGAAGAGACGAAGGACAATTTGGTGTGAGTAGAAAGTGGAGAACGTACCGCGACGCTATTACAGAGCAGAGTTTCGTTCTTGTTCCGCTACTCCAAACTGCTTTAACCCGTACTTTCGGTCGTCGCTGCGGGGACACCGGCCTTCGTCCTTCTTAAAACTGGTTAACTGTCCCCCACTTACCATTCTGGTGCAACCAGGACGCATATTCCGCGAGATGGTCAGGACTTCTCGGTTGCAATCGAACGACGTGTCTCAAAAGCACCCCTGCGGCTGGACCGGTTGCCAATCTCGCCAAAACTAAATAAGCGGGGGTGTAGGCTGGATCAAGAGACACGCATTTTTGAAGCATCCGTATGCACTCCTCCGTTCTGTTCGTTTTCCTAATTAACAGAAGTAGAAAATTAATAAATAACAGCTTCAATTATGTTAGGCTGTTTCATAAATAAAATTTATAGTCGGTATTGTACGGGGATTTTCTAAAGCAACGCGTGGATGGTCGAAGGGTGTTGTGTTAGCTGCGTGCACGCCTCACCCCTGCCGTCAATTAAACTTTAATTCATCAAGCCAGAGACGTTAATTAAACTTTAATTCTGACCTCACCACCAGAATTACCTTGCCACGCTAAATTTATTGTATAATATGTACTTCGGTATATCGCGATGCACCATTAATAAAACAGGATGCGCTGAATTCGAGATTCTTTGGTCGGCTTTGATTATTTTGTCTGATGGAGGACTCCATTAGACCACCGGGTATTCAATGCTGCTGGATATTTATCCTCGATTTCGCTTTCGTTTCTCTTGCGTACAAAAACCTTTTTCACTATTTTCTCGAACAGACGAGTTAGTCCAATTAATGGGTATTCCAGGTAAGAGCGGTTTTACAAATGTTTAATCGTACCGCAGGAAAATTTTGTTAAACGGCCATAATTCTTATGGCAAAAGTAAGAAATCAATAATTTTTAAATCTACTGTCAAGTTATTACTGACCTGTAGAGCTGACCAAGATTATAATGAGCGTTCACGTGTCCTGGTTGAGCGTGTATCGCTGCCAAAAAATGTTGCTCCGCTTGATCACCCACAGTGAGTGTTCCGAGGTTGTTATGCGCGCTGGCGTACGTCGGCCACAGCCTGTAATCAAATAAACGCCGCTTATTTACAATGTGATTAATGATCCGAGGAACACGGTGCATTTAATCGGCAAGGTAATTCCGTTTCACGTGTGGTATACGTGCACGTGTAATAATTGGCAATCGAGTCGAACGCTGAAATAATTCTCATCGTTTCTCGGTATCCTTTTTCAAATATAAATGCGCGGAATGTAATGAAAATACAAATGGATAACGAATTGCTATTAAATATTTTAAACGGAATAATAAAATTATTGCAATTCAGAACTAACGATACATTACTGTCGGAAAACGTTCCGGTGTGAATTCGTGTTTAAAAGAACTTTGGAGATTTTCATTTAAAATTTATTACCCTGATAATATGCAGCTATAGAACACTTTAACTTCCTCTGAAAAATCTAACGAGTCCCAGTGGCTTTAATATTATCGCCAAGTAGCAAGGGTCAATAACAGGTCCGCCTTTCTACCTTGCTACTCGTGCGTCCTGCGGTACCCAGTTGTTCGCGAAATTGTCCCAGTTTTCCAGGTTCAAAATAAAATTTAAAAAAAAGAAAAAACGGAAAACTGACGAACAGCAACGCGGCATGAATCTCATGACAGTGACAAAGTGTAGTGGCGAGCTCGTGGTTTCGACGCAACTCCGTGGACGAGGATTTAAGGATTACCAGCGTACACGCGTCACTGTGGACAAATAAAAAGCGTACACGCCAACGCTAGAGGTAAATTAGTTAATTCCTTCGCGCGTACCGCTTCGTTTCCTCGACCGGAAATTACATTTTGCGGAAGGTTCTTTGGTCTTTTATTGGGTGCTCCGTGTACCCAACCGATCGGCTAGAAACAGATACTTTGCAATAATAATAAAATGAATTAGGTGAGAACATTTATAGGTACATTTGATTCATATTTTAGCTAATCTGTCGAATAATATGTTGACTGTCAGAGGGTAAAGTCTCATCAGGGTAAATTATTAAGAATATAATCAGTTAAATTTTCAACATTCTAAAACGTATCAACTTCTCTGACTCGCAATTTGACATTTGATTTTCATCAAATAATTAACTTTAAGTGTTTAAGGAAACAATTCTGCTGTCGGTTAATTCTATCGCTTCCGTTTCTGCGAATCCAATTTAGAGGCAACGTGGTTAGCGAAAATGCATCACGGCAGAAACACGTTCTGACAAAACTTTCCTAACTTCCGGCAGGAAACGTACATCCTCGCAGCGATTCTTCGAAACAACGCAATTCCAAGCAGCATCGCGCAAGGATTAAAAGACAATATTAAATTTCCGCAAAGTAACGACGCTATTAAGAAAGCTCGATTTTTCAAGGAAAACTGACTTCAAGAAACTGAATTAAACTTTCTTATCGACAATCACTGCTCTTTGTAATTTCAACGGAATCAAAGAACAATGTTGCTTCTGACCGTCAACGTCGATGCATAATAAATAGTAACCTTAGGGAAACGAATATTAATCTTTCGTTTAATCAAAGAAAGTTTAACTTGCACGGAAATTAGCTGCGACTTCTGATGGAAAACTAATAAAAGTGCATGATTGATTGTGTCAAAGTTATATCACAAGAAATTAACATAATCATTGTAAAAAAAAGATTCTCGAGCGATAGAGAGAAAAATTTTATGAGATTAAAATTGTATTAATCTCACAAGCTGTTATCGAATGAAAATTAAAAAAACGTTCGATTTATTAAAAAAAAAAGGGTAGATGTTAGTGAACACCATGTACAGAAGTAATTTTGTGGCCGTTTGTAAATATAACGTTTCGCCAAAGCGTTTTGCAAACAATCTCGTTTATACCATAGTACTCGAACTATTCGTCACCATACACATTCAATATTTTTTATTCTTCCTCTATTTTTGAAAATCCTCGCAGGAAATGAACACGTAACAATCGGTGAATGCGTTCGCGGCACGCAACAACACGTCAAATTCAATTAATTCACTTATACCATGGTTCCTATTCACGTTACTCCCTTTTGTGCTGGAAACAAGCGCTCTAGCGTAATGAAGTGTTACATTTAAACGATCGCGGACAACGATACATAATTAGAAAACGAAGGAACCCGCGAACAGAGGCGCGGGTCACGAATAAATGGGACCTCTTTAAATCACCGTTCCAATGTTCAAATGATTTTCCCGCATGCTGCAACCCTGCGCGAAACTTCTGCCCTCATAGTGTACGTCTAAATTGCTCGTAAGCATGAAACTTTGTACTTAATAAAATGTCACTCGCACCCTTTCGGTTGCAATCCTTCCCCTTCGTGACACATAGTCACCTACAGCTTCGAGGTTTCGTAGAAGGGTGGCTGAATTTTGGTACCAAAAACGTAATTGCCAATTGAAATCAAGCCATACTCTTTCGAAATGAAAAAGGAAAAGAAGAAGAGAAATATCCTCTGACGCAAAAAAACTCGAACCTAAATGATGTTGCCATTTGGTCCCCCCGAAAGAAAGAAAAGGAAGAAGAAGAAGAAGGAAAAGAAAAAATGAAGTTACTTTCAGCAGCCATGTGGTCTCTGTATCCCTAGCCTCGTGACATCTGTAACAGCAAATTGACTTGGTCGAGATGGTAGGCGAAATGGTGCGGTCTTATCGGAGTAATATTCGATATTAAGGAGGTCATCGGTGATGGTAACACACGGGCCGTCTCGGAATATTAGAGGAGAAGAGGGCAACAGAGAGGCGGGAAGAAAAGAGAGAAGAAAAAAATAGAGAGGAAGATAATCCAGAGGGTAGGATATCCGAGGATAGTTGCTTCGTAACGGTGTAACGGGTCCGTAGGGGTTGGTTGGCTGCTCAATAAGGGAGCGTCGAGGTCGAAGAAAAATACGGGGATAGGATTCGCGCAAGAGTTACACAGTGAAATGAAGAAAGCGGATAAAAGGGACAGAAAGGAATCCGACGTGAGTGGATCGGGCAGCTTGGAAAGAAAAAAAAAAAAGAAGAAAAGTATAATCCAACCGGTATTCTATCCAGTCTGTGATGCATGTTCACGCTCCCGCGGCGAATCCGTTTTATTCGACGCTTTTCGCAATGGATACCCTGTACCTCTTCTTTCTTTACCTACCCGTCCCTCTATTTTCTCGTTTTCGTCCTTCCAATTCCTTTTTTCCCCCCTCTATCCCTTTTTTGTTTTTTCACTCCTCGAACCGAGTTTCATCTGTATTTAAGTTCCCGGGGAACGATATTGATCCCTGGCGAAATATCTCGACGGTAAGCACTTTTTCCACCCTCTCTTTCATTTGACGGTTTAAAGATTTATTGTTCCGTCGAAAATATAACTGCATGGAAGAGGAACGGAATTTATTAGGATTGTATCGAACTTCTGCTTCATCGTCGCCAGACTTGACGCCTGTCACCCGTACTCCGCTGATTCTGCTAGCGCGAAACGTCCAGATTAAAATTGACGAATCTGCTGTTCAACCGATCGACCGGATTGATGTCCCTGATTCTTTTATTTCACCGAACGTCCTTGTCGAATGTGTGTAATAAAAATAGTATCTATACCTCTTTCCCGTCATCATTTCATATTCATATTCCTGTATACCTCGACGAAATGCAAACAACTTGGATCGATTTTCTTAATCGAATGGATCGTTCGACGAACCGTATCTGCCCGGGACACGAAATCGCGTGGGTGAAACGAAAAAAGGAAGAAAGTATGTTCGATGCATCGCGCGAAGCACGAAACGAAATTCGCGCTGATCGCATTGCGGCAAAGTCGTTGCACCGTCTTAAAAAGAAGACACTCGTCGAACCATCTCCTCTCCGTGTTTACTTGCACCGTTCGAAAAGAGGATTGCCGAGGAACGCGTAGCTGGGATAAAACGGGATCCTCGAAAATGTCGAGGTAACGCGTGGCTTGAAATCCACGGAACGAGCCTGACGGATGGAAGGATGGTTGCGTCAAAAATCGCAACCTCTCGTCCGGAATTTTACATAGTAATCCAGGCTGATAGTGAGCGCGCAGGAGTGCGTCGTTAAAAATTAAAACGCGAGATGCACTGTTTGCCGTTGCGTTCTGTCATTCCAGATCGACCCACATCGCGAGACATCAAAAAGTACAAACACGAATGCAACAATATTTTTTTATTTATGTAAATAGAAAGGGTAGAAAATTCAGCACTCTTATAAATATCAAGGTTCCAACAGCACTTTGTACCTTCTGGCGTGTTTCAATGTTTTTCGAAGGTTTTAAAGTTGGAATATATTCCGAGAGAAACGTTTCGTGTTATTGCCGATGATCCAAACGGAAAAAGAATAATTCGGAAATGGACGGATGAAAACGGTTCGAACGGGACGAGTCACTCAAACGAAGAGGATTCTCGATTTAAAGTAAACGCAAGTACTCTCGCGAACGAGCTTAAAATAGAAACGCGAAAGACGAGGCGGTTCTTGAGAGCCGTTCGGACGCGGAAAATCGAGGTCCGTTTGAAAGACTTTTTTAATAAGTTCAATTAAAGGCTACTAACTACGAGTTTCGAGTGAAAACTTCGAGCAGAATACTCCTTTTCACATTCCTTTTTTCCCCTCGTTTATTTTCCTCGCGGCAAATGGTCAAACATCGCCGCTGAAGAAGGTATACTTTCCTTTTCACGGATAACTTCACGTTTTTGTACCCTTTTTAAATTAACGTTTACCCATTGAAACTAATCTTATTTGCAGAAGAATTAAAACCCATCTTCTCCACGTTTTTCATTTAAACTAATTGAACCGCACCAGGCGATTTCGCGCTGAATTGACCGATTGCCAAGGTAAAAATTATTTGTCCCTTAAATGGTGTAACGTTTGCATAAGAATTTTATCGTAATCCATCTTAATTACAAATTCCAGTGTCCAATTTTGTTACAGAAAACAACGCTACTGTTAACCAAAGTAATCTTTCAATTTCCTTTGCAAACAATACGATTCGATTGAATTCTGTTCGATAAATATTGCACGATATCCGGTGTGCTCGTTCGATCGATACGCCCGCCACACGTTCG